CCCCCCCCCAAAAAAAAAAAGAAATCCACTGACTGTGATTAAGCATTAGTATTCCGGCATATCTAACGTACTGCGGAGATGGCGCACAGTGGTCAGAAGTAAAACTGAGCTTTTAGACGTACTCCAGAATTCCACATTCACACAAGGGTATGCAGCTTTCTCACACTGCTCCAGAAAAACCAAGTGGATATCAAGGCATCGCAGGTCACCCAAGCAGGTTTATGGGACTGTACATATCAACTTCATTGACCCTCTCAGGTGCAACATCACATTACACCAGAGCAGGCAACAGTCTGTAGCAAGACGACCTAGATTACCACTTATAACTATGGAAAATGACTCCTTTTATCCTGGCCAGTGCTCTAGTAGGACACCCTTACATGCAAAAACATATTGGATCTGGATCTGGCAGTTGTGGTATCCAGGGTGGTCGAAACTACGCCCTCCACTAGCTGAAAGCGTTTTGCTACGTCATCAACATGCGTACACGCAACTGCAAGAGGTTGTGAGAAACGTTTGTTGATTAAAGTTTTGCGGTTAAATAACATCCAAAGGGTTATTTGGGGGTAAACAAGATATATATATACGCTAATTGAATCATAGACTGTTGAACTACCACCCGAAACTTTCTGGTTCATTGGAATCTCATTTCTAGTGCAGTACATGGACCGAATAACTCCAACCATTCCCATAGTGAAATAGCCCTCCTGAACCGAGAAAACTCGTCTGCTTTCGTTTGTTATTTTCAGGAAGCATAATGTTGTGAACACATGGCCTTATACGCTCGGAAAACAGATACATGCAGGACACTTGAGGTGTAGTCCTTAGTGGACTACCAAATATCAGAGAATAAAACGCACAGGACAGTAATAGCTAGTGACTAGGGGTCGGTTTGCACTTCTAGGATCTAGCGCCCAAGTGAAAATCTTCATATGCCGGACTATTGGCTGCGTTACCTAATGATACAGAGTGAAGACACGCTTTGAACTTTCGTCCTCCTGACAGATACACAGTCTGCTGCACTCACTGTCACAGTACAAGGACATTTATCCGGCTGTGGAAACGGGAGCTTTCTACTTCATGAAGCCGTTCAATCTAGAAAATAACCCAGCTTATAATGGTCCTGAGATATAGGACTAGCCAACCTCGGGGACTCCAAAATTCTGCTGCCCATGTAGTATATATATATATATATATATATATATTCACTTGTAGCAGATAGGCTCTCCGTCAAAGAATAACTGGATACGTAACGAAAACCCCGCATGTGCAATGCGATTACAACCGACTAGTTATCAATCCACAACGAGACACCTACCAAATACAGGCAAATCGATGGATCCCGCAGTCACTCATAGTTCCGCCACGTAATCGAACCCCCTCCCGTAGCCATCAAGTAGCAAGGTGATGACAAGCAAATTTATGGAGCAATATTTCTGTGTATAAAACCTCAGCACTGTTCTCCGACTGCCACATTGGCCTTTGAACATTTTGTGTTTTTCACCGACATTAGACGTGGTGGAACTAAAGAAGTCTGTTTTATGCAGATGACTGGTGGAAATAGAAGAAATGTGACATATCACCAATCGCGTCTTCTCATTGTTCTCAAGAAATGAAACGAGTCCGTTAGTTTTTTCCACCGAAGCTGCTCTGTTGTCGTCAAACAAATTTGATGGAAGGCTATTTGAGATGGGCGAATGCAGTGGACAATGCACTGCGCGTGCAAGAATATTCTCCTCCTTCATCCTTGTTGCGACTGTCTCTAACAACAGGATACACAGGGCCGCGATGTAGTCACAGACTGCAGAAGTGTAGGAGAACTGGACATAGCGGCGAGGTCTATAAAGCCCAAGTGAAGATGGTCCAACTCAAAGGATTTCAGCTAGAAACACATGGATTGGAGAATTACTTTCTTCTACTCCATTTTCAGCTCCAATCCACCAGCGAATCACAGGGAGGCAGTACAACGTGCCGAGTCAATAGTGAAAATTGAAGGCTGTGAGAAAAACTTACCAGGTACTCGAATTTAACATCTAGATACTTCTTTATCGTTAACCGAGTGTCTGGTATCACTTTTCGTAGAAAGGTACTTAGATCCGCTATAATCTGCAGAGAAAGTGAAAAAAGAAGCAGACGGGATAAAGTGAAAGCAGAAAATACAGTTTTCATAGTCAAACAAAGGAACAAACTCCGATTTTTTCAATAAGCATGCTTAAGTAGACCTCGCTCGAAAATCGATTAGCTTCTACGGACAGTATCGTGACAGGAACCGACGGTTCAAAACGTCAACCTGTAAAAAATGAGTATATCAAATTCATTGAGTTCAATACAAACTAATCGGTAACGGCCAACGGCGGCACGGCTAAGTGCAAATCAATTGAGAAGTGTTGCCATACGACCACACGGAAAGGCAAGCTGATGCTCTATATTCAGGTCAGTTTACAAGAGTTCACGTCGGGCTGCCGTATTCACTGAACCATAGTATCATCATAAAAAGTGCTATTGCTTAAAATGAGGTCTAATTCAACCACATTGAATCGATCTAGAACACACCGCCATAAATCAGTCACAGTTTAGGCGGATGTATCGCAGTCCGGGGATACCATAATTAGACTTAAGGTGCAGGACTGAACAAGTTGTTTCAATTTCAGAGGATGGCTCAATTCCTGGAACCTTTCTAAAAAGAAAATAGCGCACAACATTTCAGAGTTTATATAGCGAGGTTCGCCTCTGGAGAATGCTACCTTCTTGTGAGCAGATGCATCAACTTGTGAAGAAAATTAAATCATAAGAGTAGAATTACGTACGAGTTTAAGTGTACCAGACTTTTCAAAGTAATTGAAGTGCTTTACGCGAAACCACAGGTTCTTTATCATCGAGAACCGAAAAAGAAGCCCTGAAGTCACTTTGGGGCCAGCTAATTGTGATTCCCTGAGCAAGAATTAACATGAAATACATTTCCAACGGAGTTTCCCCCTCTATTCCCTCCTGAAGGAGCACGGAAAGCACACGTGAAGCGTAAGAACCTAAGCATAAGGACGTAATCGACTTGAGATAGCACAACACAGATAAAACGAAACCTTGTCTATCGGTAAGCAGTTAACTTCAATAGTCACGTTGAGAGAGTTAATAGGGTATGAGCCAATATCAACTGTAAACCTCTTGTAACATCGAGTAATGTGACGGCATATGAACCAAAAACCATTGCACCCTTGCAGATCTTCTATATTGAAACACACTCAGGAGAACTAAGTCTTTTGTAAGGAGTGCACTTCCTGGGATGCCTGAATAATAAGGATGATAGATACTGCCATCACAGGTAATCTGACAGCTTTGTGTCATGCTAACAAGAAACATTTTCGCAACGATTTGTGAGAGTTTCATTGTGAGCAGTTGTACTTCTTATGCATTATATCTTTTGTGTTTTATGTACAGTATACGATTGCAGTACAGTATACGATCAGCTGAAGTCAGAATATTACTGAAGTATAAGTGGAAAATAGTAGAACCTACGAAAGTTTAGACCACAACGCGAACCCGTGAACAAAACACGAGTATTGGCAAGGGTGTTGGGTCTAGGTTGCGATCTTGTTGCAAACTGAAGGGTCACAGCAGAGTTCACGCTCAACTTGCATCCACTTTACCTAAGTGAGCATTTGGAGATGCGAACACTTCAGGATACCGGTGTACAATACGTCTCCTCTACCGTTCTGGCTTCTTCGATAACAGGACTTGTTTCTGGGTATGCGAAACTGAAGCAGTTTAGCACTAACCCTCAGATGTTGGGACAGACAGAGAAAGATTATAATTTTACAAGCTTCCTTTTCAGTTGTCATTTCATCTGTCGGAAGGGTTCTTAAACTCTAGTGACTTTCCACTCTATCCTATCAAACGCTGGGTTATCCGAAATCACACGTCCTTTACACTAACTACACATGACAGTGAATAATCGGAGGGGTGTTTCAGATCAGCGATTTGTTTTTCGAGAAGCAAAGGAGTGACAAGTGGGGGGAAGTATAAATTTTGCTTGCTCCGAAGGCTTATCCATCCTTAATGGGTAGTACTGTGCAATAACACCAGTTATCGAAACTGGACAAAGTATGACAAGTACCACGAAGAGATTGCATCCTCCAGCAATGTGAACTTGCACGGCAGAACGGCATCAACCGTTCATCAGACGACCAAAATGTACTGAGATTAATCGAACTACGGTAGATAATAACTAACCGGTTTGATTTTCTTCAACATTTCTATGGAGAAACGTTCCATACTTCGATGTGTTGTCCCAAACTGTGTGAATGCTTCACTGGTGCGAAGCATGGGTTCCTTCACGCCGATTTCGGAAAAGACATCAGCCAAACCTGGGCGGGAGAAAAGTAAAATTGGTTTTGAATGACCATGCGACAACGAGCGGCACAAAGGCAAGTGAATAATAATAATAACCGTTCAGCTGTGACACCCTTTCGGGGCTTTAGCTGCCACGCCACCCAAAGGAAGTACGAGGGCTGGGGTACTGCCAGGTTGCCCAAGACTAGACAGGGGAAGTCAACAGAAAGAGACCGGGTTCGAACCACGGGCCTTCCGATCAGTAAATTCGCGCCCTGACTGCTAAGCCACCTCGCCACCAAGTGAGCAAAAGCAATTGGCCTCTAGACACAACCGAAAGGATGTATACAATCAGTTCGAGTAAATAACTTCGGATTGGACTACCTGAGTATATCCGCGAAAGTTCATAGATTGCCCGCAGTAGATTCTTGGCGTGGGCCATCATTCCGGAGAACATTGTTGCAGTTTTGTTCAGTTCATCGAATTTCTTTACCAAACCATCTGTGATAGAGCATGTCAATAATGTTCGTCGAAAGAGAACGGTACCGTTAACCAGAATAGCGCGGCTCAGACCGAGGGCATCGGCCGTGCTACTTTCCATGAACTCAACCACACGATGCTTGGCTTTTTTCAATACTGTAACAGAATAACAATTTAACGTTGTTGCAAAGCAGTTCTACCAATATCCAGTGTTTTCCCTTGTTTCGGATCGGCGTGGAGCTTGTTGAAGTTGATCACCACTTTATCCTGGAAAAGAAAGAATGCAACCAACAAGTGCACAAGAAGACAGGACTAGTTCGGAATGATGTCGTTTGTACATGAGTAAAAAATTCGGTCTATGCGTCAGGATACCCGTAAGTGGGATAACCATAACTGCACGGCGTCCCTTGACGTAAATCAAGTCAGAAAGCTAAACTTTTGTGAAGATAATGATTCCAATTGCGATGAGATCTAGCTACTATCTGAGTGATTCAATACTCAGACTGCATACGTAATGATAATCTTTCGAACCGAACGACACAATGTATATTCAAACTCCACGTAGGCATCCGCTTTATGAACGCTCCTGAAGCTCACTCCGATCGATTCCATCCAGGAGAAAACACCCGTGATTTTAGAAGTTGGGTTGGACTCTGCGATAGCTAAGAGGAAGCCATTAGTTTGGCAGTATCTTAGCTAACTGCTAGACGTAGACTAAGTGTGAACGTACACGTTAGCAGCCGGAGCCGGCTACCGCGCACAGCTGTGGTGGTGTGATGAAGAGGAAAACGTATGTGAAATAGGTGGAAACGAATGGCTCTGAAAAATAAGAAAACTGTAGTGAGACGCTGGTGAGGTTTGTGCTTCACGGGTATGCAGCGTGCCCTATTGGCATAGAAGTGTAACCATGGAAAGCGTCCACCAAAAGGGGTTAACTTTTCAACCGTACTGGGTAACACACGGATGTGCATCTTGTCGGAGCATGATAGAGACGGAGAGGCAAGTTATTAATGAATATCAATGGTACAGCATCCTATGGAATTTTATTTGTTACCACAGCACCATTTGTGGGACACACCCAGTTGCCTTCGTCTGGTTATATGCTGCGCAAACCGAGTTATTGTCTAACTAATTTGAGTTCCGTATCTCAGAGGAAAGCGGTGCAGAAGAATAGAAAAGCAAACCATGACTGGGAAGGAGGGATGGGTTACGAAAACTATGGTTGTTCGAGCCAATTACCTTAAGGAATGGAAATCCAGAAACTAGGCTTGAGAAACCTCAAAATGAGCCTGTGAAAAGTTTCCAACGACATTCATGCTTCCAGTTTCCGTTCAGATTGGCCCTGCGCTTGGAGATTGGGGCACCCAAAATGATTGTGGGTGATTGCTATTAGGATTTTTTACGTCAACCTTAAAGACAGGGGTTTATTGAAAAAATGAAACCACCAAACAGCGGTTTAGTTGGTGTCGTTGACTGTAGAATTTTATCGAACATTGGACGCAAAAACTAACCCATAAACCAAGGTTCAAGGTGGACATGTTGCACTGACTACACATATGCTGAGGAAGTCGGTCAACTAAAGTGCTTTTGGAACTGTTCTATTCAGCCACATACATAATAATTATTGTTTCCTAATAGCGCTATTGTCGTCTGATAAGGAATGTTCTCTTGAATCAGGTTTAGTGTGTGGGGAATAAAACAGCAAAGTGGCACGAAAAATAACATAGCCTGGCTTGATGTAAAAAACAAAATGAGGTGAATGACTTCCAAGATTGGTGTGGAACCTGGATGAGGTAACTAAAAGCAACAATCACCTACCCATAATTCAGAGGTTATTTTAAAATGGAGAAATTTACCCACCTTGAAACTCTGGATCAAGCGAGCAGCTTCAACTTTCGACTTCCCCTTCAAAGCAATACCATTGACCGCCGTGATTTCATCTCCAGCCTGCAAGGTTGCATCCTCTGAGGCTGGAGTGGAGTCGAAAACTTGAACCACATACAAGCAAGGGCAGTAAGGTGCGCCCCCACCGATACTTATCCCAACAAGATTTTGCGCATCTTTGGTCAGCGTGACACATCCGCTTGTAACAGTCATACCACTAGGAATGAAGTAGACGGAAACGGTGCATATGAAACTATACCTTCATTTTACTTATGGACATTGTGACAACGACGAAAGACACCAACAATAACGTCCTTGAGATGGACACTGGATATCGAGACTAACTATTGTTAGAAGCCTGAATTAACCAGAATGACAAATCATCGTTTAATGAATTGAGCATTGGACATTCAGCACCAACCAACCATCCAATGGTCAGATAACTGAGCTAATTGGGGCACATTTATTCTCAAACACACTTCCTGGTTTTAATCACGGTAGTTTTTGGTGAAGAGCACAACTTATCCGAATGGATATTGCCCAGGTGTTCACTCGCGAACTCCCAACAGCTTCTTTGCCCTATTCCCTATGATCCATTTACCAATTACCTAGCCGTTGCTTCGTACCTGCGTTTCTGTCCACTAAAATGAATCGAAGGGACGAGATGGCCGAAGTGGTTAGGGCGCGATTTACTGATCCTTCGAAACCGAAATCTGCTTCTCGACTTCCCGTCTAGACTTGGGCAACCACGCAGTATCCCAGCCCTCGTGCTTCCTTTGGATAGCACGGCAGCTAGCGATTTAGATTATATCCAGCGGTCACGTGATCGTATCGGAGAAGTTAGACAGACGGCACTGAACGCCGCTACCATAACCAGTTTCCACTTTTGCCATGCTTTCTCCCCGTTCTCGTTGCTGCAGAGATTGAGTCACTTCATGTCGATAAATATGAGCTACGGTAGTTCTCGAAGACGGTAGACTGGCATGCATTTACTAACCTGCGGGGCCTAAAAAATCGTTCATCTGCAGCACTCTTTCGGTGCCTAGCTGCAATGCCACACGCAGAAGGCACGAGGGCTGGGATAATTCCAGGTTTTCCAAGCTTAGTCAGAGGAAGTGGAGAGGCAGAGGCCGGGTTCGAACCACGGACCTTCCGGTCAGCAAATCCGCGCTCTAACCACTGAGCCATTTCGCCCCCAAAGGAGTTATAGATGAACTACTATTACTATTATTGTTATTAGGTTACTCGGTGCGCGCGTTTGTGTTGAAACGTCGTGCTGGTTATAAATGATTGCTGGTCAGTACTCGGGCGAGATGGCCCGAGTGGTAAGAGCGCGAATTTACTGACCGGAAGGTCCGTGGTTCGAATCCCACCTCCGCCTCTCGACTTCCCCTGTCTAGGCTTGGGCAACCTGGCAGTATCCCAGCCCTCGTGCAACCTTCGGGTGGCATGGAAGTTAGGCACCGGAAGAGTGCTACAGCTGAATGCTCTCTCTCAGTACAAAAGTGGAATCGCTCCCTGTTGTCCGTGCAACAAGCATCGAATCGACCGTGCAGTGAATTTGAGGAGCTTCCGTATCGAGCGCAAGGGTGACAAGTTCGGTGTTCCTTGCTTGTCAAATGAACCCAGATAAATCTCGATAGAATGTATTCTTCTCAATGTCAGAACTGCTGTCCGTTGGGCACAGTTCCTTAATTTGAGACACTTGGCTTGGTAAAGCTGGATAAGTGAACGGCTGAAAGACGGCTGTTTACTGGAATCTAATCCAGCAAAATGCATTCAGCTCTGGGGCTGAGTGCAACTCCCACGTCTTATATTCCACGAGTCATCGCTTCTGGATTGCCAGACACAAGGAGGGAGAAATGTGAAAGACCTAAGGTCTTCGTTGGCGCCTTAGGATGTACGATCACGCTTGAGTATTGAACGCGCGTTTCAGACACAAAAGGTTTAAGGTCTAAGCTAGCTTCATTTTTTACCAATTCAACAGTTTGAAAAATGGAATCTCCTGTTTAGAGGAGATCTCACGGCTTTAGCTAAGTGTTATTTAGTTCACTGCTAACGGTCAACGGGGTGTATATAACAAAAACTGTCACATAGCTGGAATCAAATTATTAAATAACACTGGCTTATAGAGTGGAAAGCGTTTGAAGAACAAAGTTGGATAAAGGATCGTCTGAGTTAATGACACTTCTCGGCTCCCTAGGTTGATGAAGAGGGTTTGCTTGAGACATCTCACATTGAGCCAGTGACCTGGAAACCTAACACAAAGCAATGGAGGATGAAGGGTTGTGTTCGCCGATTGTACCACCAGCCTTGAACTCAAAAGTTAGACCAGTGAGGCACCGAACAGTTAGGCTCCCTCATGGACCCTGTCGGTAGAAGACGAATAATAATCAGACCTGCTGAAGTAAAGGAGGCTGCCCCAACCCAAGGACACAATATACAAAACATAGATTTATCATCCTGGATGCGACCGCGCACAGTGGATGCTTTTGGACTGACGTCGAGCTTCTGACAATGTTTATTTCTTTTTCGATCTTATTTGTTAACTCGCCGTGGGCCAACCCTTGGGTGGTCAGATTGTGCAACTTTTAGGACCAACATTTTTTTAACACGTCCTTCCTCAAGGTGAGGAAGCACTGCTGCTTTCGTGGATGGGGACACGTTAATCCCCAGGGAGAAATATCATAATGACTTCATTTGTAGTACGGAGTCCCGCTGCTCTTAATCCGACCGCCCATTTTTGGCCTTCCTGGCATGGTAGTACGTTGTTGAACGAAGTCCTAGACAGTATATTCCAATGGGTTATTGCGGAACTGATGCCCGACCACTAAATCAAAGCGACATTTTTCGTTCGGGGCCGGAGTGTGATCAAACTAAACGTACACACACGGTCACAGGTCGACGCGTTTGTACATATTCCGTAGAATATCAGCTGTGTACAACTAACTGGGCTACATCCTATCCAGAACATGACGTCCTGGGACATAGCATGTTGTATGGCAGCGTGTTTCAAGTGATCAAGAACGCATCCTGCCCTGTCATGATTTCTCCTAGCCACCAATTGCCGAATTTCGCTGATTCTAGTACCCAGTTTATCTGTTTCAATTCTGAGGTGATTTGGAGTGGAGCACAAAACTGCGTTTGCATTATGGTTTCTGTTCACGATGGAGCGGAGCGCAGTTTTCTCGAAAAAATGCAAGACAAAACAAATGCATCAGGATAGCTCAGTTATCTCATGAGGTGAAAACTTACAGTTTGTCTTTAGCGAATAAACACTCATCGGCAAACTAATTTGGTTCTTTCGAGAGACTCACCTGGAACCCAGCTGAATCTCTCGTTTATGATGTTCTCAGGCAACTGAATGTGCTGCACCAGGCCGCCTCATGTTTCAGTCGCTACGATATTTGAAATATCGCGACACATGTATATTTGTAATGTACTACTCATAAGGTTGCTGAAAATCCGTCGACAGCCCACGACCGGTTTCGCCCTTCTTGGGGCTCATCAGGTAGGCGCAGTCCCCGGGTTTCCGTCAATCTTATGTTCTACTTGAAACCAAATTGCACGAAATTAGCGAATGTACACTCATTTGCAAACTAGTTTGGTTGTGGGAATTCACGGAAGGATGGATCGAGGCTTTTGCCCAAGTTTCCCGGGTCGGGCCCAAGTTTCCCGGGTTTCCCGAGAGAGAAAAAATGCAGGACAAAACATATGTATTAGGACAGCTCAGACAGACAAACTTACAGTTTGTCTTCTTCATATCCGTAGTCGTAGGTGTACATCCTGACCCAATGTCGACTACGAACCCAACTGTTGAAACTACGCTCTTATTGGCCGCTATTGTTGATCAGGTACATGACCTTCGGGCGAGCTCATGAGGGCACACGGATTCACGGATTGATACACAGGATCGAGGCTTTTACCCAAGTTTCCCGGGTCGGTTTTGTTCTTGTCGGTCAGTGGCTGTCGTTCACCTGAAAGGCACAAGTGAAAAAAGGGTGTAGCACTGCTCTTTATGTTCTCAGCGCGGGGCAGTATCCTCGCCAGCGCGAAAATTCGCATTAACAAATGTCTAATAGTGCTTTAAATTGGGTTCGAGAAGGAGCATG